TTACCACCATAAGAGAGTTCTGAGGCGGTCCCCACACATCAGTATGAACCAACTCTAATTTTTACCTTTGATTACGTCGCCCATTCAATTGAAAACCGGCCCGCCTTTTGTTTTCCATAAATGCAACTCTCCACGAAATCTAATTCAACTTTACGCAAACCTGGAAGTAACTTTCTTGAGTGTAAGCTTTACACCGTTTTCACCAAGATGTCCCAAACGATAATGCCAAAGAGTAGACAAATTACACCAGCCCTTTGTAGTTGCAACCATATCAGCGATATTGTCTCCCTGGAGAAGGTATAGCGTGCTGTACGTTTTCCCTTTGCTACTACTCTTGCCCACGAGGTTATCTTCCACTCTCCGCATCCAAGGGTTGTTACCAAACCTTCTTGATCAAGTTTACTAGTTGAGATCGAGATTTTTCTTTAATTACGGGATATGTCTAGTTTCATGCAAAACTAGGCGTCCTCCCACTTGAGATGTTCACAATCACGGTTCCTCTTCCAACAATTGGACACATATGGCCGTTTCCCACAACCACTTGCCCAAAATCTCCCTTTGGCATAATCGGCAAATATGTCTCTTTGCGAGGTGCAATGGAAAGAAGCACCGGAGTCAATAAACCACTTGTCATGTCGTCAAGTCATACCTATGGAGATAAACACAAGTTCTCTAGCGAAGGTTCATCGCTAACCACATTAGCTCCTTGATTCTCATCCATTGCTTCTTTTTGTAGGCCTCACATTGAAACCTCAGATGTCCGGTCACGGTGACAAAACCAACACTCATCTTTTGCGACCTCTCTCTTTCCCCTTGACTGTGATCTACCGCGCCCGCTAAATTTTCCTCTGCTTTTACTTATCCCACGGTTCTCCACTGCTAGTGCTGTGGAAGATGTAGATGGCGAAAAATTATTTCCACTTGAGACTTTTCTTCGCATCTCTTCATCCATGATACTACTCACGGCATCATCCGAGTCAAATCATCCTTCATGGTGCTTGAAATTCCTGCACTTTGCGGTGTTGTAGCTTTACGGAAGAGACATAAAAATAATAAAGCTTGAAGCTTCATATCAGTTATGCACAACGGATTCCAAGCGACACGTGACTTGCGTGAAACTATTAATATGCTCTGCTACGGAACCTCTATCAAATAACTTCATATTAACCAACTTCTTCAGCAAAAATACCTGATTTGATGTGGATGGCTTCTCATATATATTCGTAAGAATATCCATGGCTTCTTTTGCAGTTTTTGCTTTTGCGATGTGGTACCTGTCTTTTCGTCAACCCTAGACAGATCGCACCTAATGCCTTTCGATCAAGAATTTTCCATCTGATTCTGGCATCGGATCCACTTCCGCTATTTCAGGTTTCTAACCCTCAAGTGGTGCATAGAGATCTTTCTGATAAAGATAATCCTCGATTTGGAGTTTCCACCATCCGAAATCCTGCCGTCGAACTTATCGATCCTAATTTTATCTTACGCCATATCGTTTGCTTTCAATCAAAAGTCACGAAAAACCCCTCGATGGTCTCGATTAACCAACCAAGCTACGATACCGGTTGTTGGGAATCGAGCACCGATTCCAGAAAAATAACCCAAACAAAGCGATTCTCACTAGCGAGAATATAATAATAAAAGAACAGAATCGAAAGAACACACCAGGGAGAATTTGTTATCGAAGTTCACCCAAACACTGGGCTACATCTCGCGCGGAGGCACTCTGTGAATCCACTAGACTTGAAGAAAGTAGGAATACAATTATGATCTTCTCTCAAGATCGGAGTACAAAGAGATTGAGAACACTCACAAAGAAAAACTCACTTTTTTCTTCTCTCTTTTCTTTTCTCTCTATTTTCTTCTGCAGCGCAATGACTAACTTCTATCAAAGAGCGATATATAAAGCGTAGCTTTTAACCTAAAAGCAAAATTAATAGAAAAGACAAAAAAGCCCTTAATAACAATATTTGGCTTCATCCTCCAACATATTCCCCATTATGTACGCGTTTTTGTGGGTGCGAAAGATTGTTTATTAACTTTTGAAGGAGGAAAATATTTTTGAATAATACAGAGAAAAATAATCCATTCATCCTATTATAATTGAGGATTTTATTAAAGCCATCTCATGCGATGTCACACACCTTGAATTCATTAGTAATCGCAAGAGAGATGTCACTGAAAAATTGCTAGAAAAGCACACGGGGTTGTTTCTTTCACGAATTAATGAACTATACACGGGACATACATGACCACATTACGCTTTGCCAAAAAAGCTAGTTAATTCGTGGGTACATTTGAAAACTTGAAAAGGTGCACTACAGAGTCTCTTTCGATCGTTATGAATTCTTTCATTCTGCGCTATTAAGGTGTTTTAATGGAGTGAAACATATGTCAATTTAGCAGAAAGGGTAAAATAAAGATCTCTTTTTCAGGTGGGGAACAGTAGAGAGAGGAGGGCCTTTGCTGCCTGTCCCCATTCTTGTGGGGCGGGCTCTATATATGGAGGCGATCCTTATTTTAACGTGCAAGTCCTTGCAAATTTTTCGTCCCCAGTTCTCTCTGTATCTTTGCCTTCCTAGGGAGAAGGAATACTTTCTAGAAATTTTACATCGCGGTGATTTCGAAATCTAAATGAAATCAAGATAAAGTCTTTTAAGGACCTGTTCAGGTCCAACGTCTTTTTCGGACGGTGAAAGGCAAAGAGAGGTATATTCCAAGTGAAGTTAGCCTCATTTCATCGAGATGGTTGACATAAGAAGTGGCTTTGACAAGTTAGCAGTGAGACAGAGACTTAAAAGGGGAATCTTTTAGCTCTTTTGGATGGTGATTTTTCCGTGAAAATGATATTAAGGACTGACTTTATATTTTAGAGATATGAGGAATTATATATATTGACCATCGATGAAAATGAAGTAAATCTTTTTTATACCATCCCTAGCTAGGCACTGTCGACTCATCTCCCAAAATGTCCATCTTTCGATAAAGAAATACAATCGTTAGAAAGTCCCATCCCGACAGACTAAATTAACAGGTGGAGATCACATGAATATAACGAGCATATTTGAACTCTTTAAACAAACGTTACGAGATATTATAACACCCCCTCTCACTGTACAGGTTGGACTAGAAACGGCACGCGGAACTTGAAGAAACGGGAAGCCGCGCATGTGAAATAAACCGGGGCATAACCCGACTCTAATATCACGTTTGCAAATTCAACTCGAAAGCCTAAGCTAATACACTTCACTGAGTTCAACAATAATCAGGGAGCCAAAAAAAGAAAAAAAGGAGAGAAACGCATGCTTTTCTACTATTCAAACACACACACACACACACACATATATAACCATAATATATAACAACTTATTAATTTTAATAAACGATTGTAAAGATAACAAGTGCACCCTTTGAGAGTTGGAAAGAATACTTATAAGTTCTTGAATCGCCAAACAGGACGTACTGTTCCTAGTCCACACGATTACGACGGCGGTGACGGTGAATTTTTTGGAGCTGCTTATATTATCGTCAACTATCGACAAAAGCATGGCCCCGCCAATGTTGCAGCGACAAAAAAATCATCGTGCTTTGAATTTGATTTTTCTTCGTTATGTCTTTTAGCGGATTTCACACAAATTATTCTTTTCCACAGAAATATGGGTTCGGGCCGTTGAGTCGTTATGTTCGTTTGACTTTGGCTAAGCTAGAGAGATAAATCACGAACGGCCTGGAATTAACCACGTAGAGGAATTTTGCATTTGTATTTTTGGATTCACATTAAATCTCCGCATTTATGTTGGATTATTGTATAAATGGAAAAAGATAAATTTATAAATTAAAAACGGGAAAATGACATAAGTGGTCCATGAATTTTGGCTCAATATGCAATGTGATTCATGAACTTTAAATTTGTTCAATGTGGTCAATAAACTTTTGGTACATGCTTAATGTAGTCCTTGAATTATATATATGAAAATATTCAATATTGTTCTTGATCTTGAATTAGTGGAAGGACAATATTGAATATTTTTACATAATTCAAAGATTATATTCAACATGAACCAAAAGTCCAGTAACACATCGAACAAATGAAAAGTTCAAGAACCACACTGCCAATTGAGTTAAAGTTCATGGACTATATTAAACAAATTAAAAGTTCAGAATTCACAATACACATTATATTAAAATTTAGGAACTATTTTTATCATTACCCACAAAGAAAAAACTGTATCGATCTTGCTGCTCGAGTCCTGCTGGAGGAGCCACACTGAACAGCTCCCAAATTTCAGGGAAGGCAACTTTCGACGGCCTTTGACATCATGGGACCTGATTAGAAGCTAATTAATCGGTTCTTCTTGACAAAATAATAAGACAAAGAAGGGTTCTTTGAATATTGTCGATATTGTTTGCCATTTGCACTACAAATCAGCACCTGCTATAGTAAGTAAAAAAAAATCAAGAACTTCATAGACAGGACACACGAGATGAGCGCAACGTAACTCTAGAAGAGGATATCCCGACGTGGAGATAGATCGATATATAACCGCGGAAGGATAATCTAGACGTGAACCGACCTAAAATTTAGTTTTTGTGATCGAGAAATTAAGCCTGAGAATCTAAGTGTAATCTCTCTCTCTCTCTCTCTCTCTCTCTCTCTCTCTTTCTCTCTCTCTTTCCTGGCCACAGGCCAAAGGAAATTTAAGTTTTTTTAAAAGATAATAAAAAATTCAAAAAAATACTTAAAAATTAAAAAAATTGTCAATGTCAGATCCAGTCTTGGTACGTGGGACAACCGACGCCCATGTAAGCGATTTCCGGCGTAAATTGGCCGGATAGACTGAATTGGTATCGATATAAAAATGTTCAGGATTGAATTTGTCCAATTGAAAAATTTAGCACTGAATGGGTACTAATACAATATGTTTATGACTTTTTAGCACCATCCGTCTCATTTCAAAGACGAGAGACTTGTGGCCTCCTCAATCATTCGTGAGAATTAACACCAAATCGAATCTTGCAGAATTTCTCTTCTTTGATTCGCCCGGATCTGCAGCGAAGAACTTGTGTTTCGGGGGGGTCAACGAGTTTGATTTTACTCCAATCATCTTTCATTGCATGAATTGGATGGGACTTTTCTCAAAACTTGTTGGCTCCATCCTATTTTTTCCACAAGAGAATATCCTTTTGAGACTCACTTCTCCGGCGGCAGCATTCGGGCTCCAATCAATCGACATTTACACCGGCCAAGACTGATGAATGTTTTATACAGTGAACCTAGGAATCTCTGTGTTCATGCGTTAAAAGTATAAAACCAGACCTACTCGAAACCTTAGCACCACCACCACCACCACCAACAACCCTCCTCTCTCACTCGAGCGCACTCTTTGCCACCCACAATCATGGGCTCACTGGAGCTCCAACCGCCACCCACCGCCACCACCAGCCTATCCGAACTCGACCATGCCATCGATGAGGACGACCTCTCGCCCATCGAGGAGGTCCGCCTCACCGTGACCAACGTCGACGACCCGACCTTGCCTGTGTGGACCTTCCGCATGTGGTTCTTGGGCCTCCTCTCCTGTGGCCTCCTCTCGTTCCTCAACCAGTTCTTCGCCTACCGGACCGAGCCCCTCATCATCACCCCGATCACGGCGCTGGTCGCCACGCTCCCCATCGGCCGCTTCATGGCCGCGGTGCTGCCCGAGGCCAAGTTCCGGATCCCGGGGCTGGGGTCCCGGCACTTCTCGCTCAACCCGGGCCCGTTCAACATAAAGGAGCACGTGCTCATCTCCATATTCGCCAATGCTGGGAGTGCGTTCGGATCCGGGTCGGCTTACGGTATTGGGATTGTGACCATCATCAAGGCGTTTTATCGCCGGCGCATTTCGTTCTTTGCCGGGTGGCTTCTCATCATCACGACGCAGGTCAGTTTATTCATTTTTTTCTATTTTCTTTCGAAATTCAATAGATAAAACCTATCATCGACTGCTCGACTCGTAATTGTTCAATTTTCGGGTTTCTCTTTCTCGCCTTCTGCAAGGAAGTAGCTGTGAAAAGAGAGACGTACGACGACTGTGCTTATGAATATCATAAATGTTGCAACTCGATGCATAATTTCATTGGCAGTAACAATTTCTTGCGGTTCCATGAACGCCACCAGCAATTATAAATGAAATGGATTGGTCCAGCCATCTTTTCTACAGTGAACAGTGCTCCACTCATTTTCATTTTCTCTCTTTTTTCTTTTTAATTTGTATTTCAACACCCATTTCATGTACAAGCCTGATTAGAAGCAATGCGTGGAATTTGACCGATGAGAGTAGATGGATACTTACGCCGATAAGTGAAGGGAGATCATACGAATATAAAGAACATATAAGACTTATTGTCTACCGATATTGGACAATATATTAACATGCTGAACAGCACAATAATTGAAAACGAGATAGTAACTTGTGCGCTCGTTATAAAATGGAGCTTAAGATAGATGGTGAATTATAGTAGTGTGGATTTGGATATGCAGGTGTTGGGATACGGTTGGGCAGGGCTGTTGAGGAAATATGTGGTGGAACCAGCTCACATGTGGTGGCCTGCTGCCCTCGTCCAAGTCTCCTTGTTCCGGTAATTACACCCTTTGCCTCCCCTTGCTTGCTTATCGTTATCAGAATTCACATGAAAGCAGAAGGAGATACAACTGGTGGGAGGTTCGTCTTTCAATTTCGCTCTTTGCCTCACCTTGCTTGCTTGCTGTGGACACCTTAGGATCACTGCTTTGTCTTTTACTCGATTCCTTTGTCTTGTCACTGCAACTTGAGTATGTGGGTCACATGCGGCATAACGAGCTCATCTCTCTCTCTCGCTCTCTCTCTCTCTCTCGCGCGCGTGCGCGCCCAAAATAGTGGGATGTGCCATGCCATCAACATTGGACCATAAGCCCAAAATAGTGATAGCTCTGGATAAGTACCAGGGATCCACAAAACCATGTCACTTTGGTGTGGAAAGTAGTGATAGTTCAGCACTCAATAATATCTACTTTGGAGAAAACGATAAAGCCGAGAGCTTCTCAGTCAAACTACAGACGCCAGCAACCCCACCTCATCCTCGAAATCCTCAAAAGTCTTATAAGAACCCATTTGCCATTCCCACTTCTTGCTGCTTCTGGTCCCTTCAAATTGGGAAGAACATGCGCCAGTTGGCAAAATTACCAAAATTGTCCTAAACCTATTATAATTGTGCCAATTTAGTCTTAAATCTTTTTTTTTGCGCCAATTCAGTTCTAAACTTTTTACATTTATGTCAATTTAGTCTATCTGGCTAATTTTGATCGGTCGGCGCTGATGTGACAATTTTTTTAATATTATTATTTTTTATTTTTTCGAATTTATTTATTTATTTATTCTTTTTTTTTCTTCATCTTCAATCTCTGGTCGGCGAGGTTGGCCCTGCCGGTTGCTGGGGAGGTCTACCTCGCCAACGACGACGAGGCTCGTCCTTGCCGGCAACAGGCGAGGCTCGACCTCGCCCAACCCCTGGCAAGGCTCGACCTCGCCGGCAACTGGTGAGGTTGGCCCCACCAGCCGCTGGTGAGGTTCGACCTCGCCAGTTGACGGCGAGTTCGAGCCTTGCTAGATCTGGAGAGGGCTCTTCCTTGCCGTCATTGGCGAGGCTAGTTGCCGACGAGTTCGAACTCGCCAGATCTGGCGAGGGCTCGTCCTTGCTAGGAGCGGGCGAGGCCGACCTCGCCATTTGCCGGCGCGGACGAGCCTCGCCAACGACGGCGAGGACAAGCCCTCGCCAAATCGGGCGAGGCTTGAACTCGCCAGCAACTGGCGAGGTTGGCCTCGCCCAGCAACGGCGAGGTCGAGCCTCGACAGGGGCTGGGCGAGGCCGACCTCACCAGTTGCCGGCGAGGCTCGGCCTCACCTAGCAACGGCAAGGTCAAGGCAACCGGCCAGAAGATGAAGATGACAAAAAAAGGGAAAAAGAAAAGAAAAGAAAAGAAAAGAATTAAAAAAATATTCAAAAAAATAAAAAAATAATATTAAAAAATCGCCACGTCAGCGTTGGCAGGTCGGCCGGCGTCCACATTAGTGTCGGCTGGCCAAAATTAGCCGGATGGACTGAATTGGCACAAATGCAAAAAGTTTATGACTGAATTTACACAATTGCAATATGTTTAGAATTGTTTTGGTAATTTTCCCCGCACCAGTTATCCCCCACCATATAAACTATAATGACGCTCGCAAGTACCCTGTGTTCCAAGGACAAACCCGAACTGTCTTAGCCACGAAACTAATGGTAATACAGATTGTAACATCCGCTCTCTTTCATACCCTGCTTTAGGATCAGATAAAAGGCGCAAATCCTTCCAGTTGCGTGGTGTAGCATGGAGGGGGTCGCAACTCGCTGCAGAAACACCCAAAGTCTTCGCTCTTGCATTGGACATCTTTATAAACAACAAATTGTCATTTATATTCAGGATCTGAATAGTTTCAGAGGATTCACTATACAAATATGAAAGTTGGTCGCCTCGTCCTTCATTCTTGTCAATCGACAGATGCATTCACAAAATAATATGATAATTTCAGAACTGTCCCAAAGTATCCACAGTTTGCACTTCATTTCATGTAGACAATTAGTGCATGACCTGAAGTAGGTCATTCTATTTAAATTGATGCAGGGCTTTACATGAGAGGGATGAACAGCGCATGTCGCGGGCAAAATTCTTCCTCATTGCGCTGATCTGCAGCTTCTCATGGTATGTTGTCCCCGGATACCTCTTTTCCACGCTCACAAATATATCATGGATCTGCTGGGCATTCTCCAACTCAATCACCGCCCAGCAGATTGGCTCGGGTATGCGAGGCCTTGGACTTGGAGCCTTGACGCTCGACTGGGCAGCAGTGGCATCCTTCCTGTTCAGCCCTCTAATCTGCCCCTTTTTTGCCATAGTCAATGTTTTCGTGGGATACACATTAATAATCTATGTTGTAATCCCCATAGCCTATTGGGGGTTTAACGTGTATAGTGCAAATAGATTTGCTATTTTTTCCTCGCACTTGTTCACGGCGCAAGGTGAAAGATACAATATAACGGCAATCGTAAATGACAAGTTCGAGTTGGACATCCCAAAGTACGAGGAGCAAGGCCAAATTCATTTAAGCATGTTTTTTGCTCTCTCCTACGGCTTTGGTTTTGCCACCATTGCATCAACACTAACTCATGTGGCCTTCTTCTATGGCAGGTACTATCTTCTCACCTTGATACGTTCATTTAGATTTTATCTCTCGAGTACTTGATTAGGACATCAAGCAGCATGCAGAAAGAAAATACCAGGGCAAGGCTGTAAAGATCTGAAAATGGAACCTTGAAAGAATCTGAATTTACAGTTTCAAATAACTTTTCTGCAAACTAAGGTGATCCTTATAGTTATAACACAGAGACGTAACACCTAGATAATGAAAAAACTCTAAAGAATCAGAATAGTATTTTTTTTTCCTGTAAAGTACATGATTTTCTAGAATTCATGTGACACATAGACAATGATATACAATAACATTCAACAGAGAGATCTACGAGCGCTATCGTGCTTCTCACAAAGGGAAGGCAGATATCCATACAAAATTGATGAGGCGATACAAAGACATACCCTCGTGGTGGTTTCCCTTGTTGCTCGTTGTAAGTCTGGTGGTATCTCTTGCTCTATGCATCTTCCTGAATGATCAGGTCCAAATGCCATGGTGGGGGCTTCTCTTTGCTAGTGCTCTTGCATTTGTGTTCACCCTTCCCATTAGTATCATCACTGCCACAACAAATCAGGTACGAATCAAGAGTTATGGTGCATTTATTCTTGACTTAATTTCTATGTAAAAAGACGTATTATACTTAATACCTATCTTTCTCTATCTACAGACACCGGGACTAAATATAATCACAGAATACATAATGGGCATGATATTGCCAGGAAGACCTATAGCAAATGTTTGCTTTAAAACATACGGATACATGAGCATGGCTCAGGCTGTTTCCTTTCTCAATGATTTTAAGCTGGGACACTACATGAAGATACCTCCAAGATCGATGTTCTTAGTTCAGGTACTTTTTACTGCTCCTAACCATTTGATACTGTTAATCAACTATGCCAAAAGTAAGCCAACCAAACATAATATAGATCCATCAACTTATCTAGTGCCACTGATGCGGACAACTTATAAATAATTACTGATTACCAGTAACAAATTTTTGTTCATGAATTTCAGGTAGGGATGAAAATAAAGAGAGAAGCAAATCAATCGAATTTCTAGCTTCTTCAAAACTAATATTTTTTCCATCAAACCTGATAAAAAGGTGTGACTGAATCGTGATAGGAGAGTATTGATTTGAGAACTCATTCATGGTATTTACAAATTTACACTACTACAGTTAGAGCTTCCCCATCTTTGGGATAACTCTTTTTACTGTTCCCGGAAGACAATCTCAAGTGAAGTTCTACAAATACAAAACACAACTTTCTACGTTCAAGGATTTAAGCCAGCCTTTCCCGTTTCGAACATAATTAAGATGAAGCAGTTGGCATTTTAGAACAAGCACGTTGCTTGTGGCAGCACCATATATCATCCAAAGCAAGATCAACTTCATGTGCACTTGCAAAAAAGAAATACTCACAAAGCTCATAGACGTGAGTAACACTTAGGGCATAGTTTGGATCTCCTGAAATGACATTTACTAAAGCTAGCAATCAAATGTTACTAGACTTTCTAGGGTGTGACAAGATTGTTAAGTATCCTCCCTCTTGTTGCTATTTATCAAATAAGTACGTGTGGCATCTAGTTATTCTGAAACTACCTTAGTACTCTATTATTGTGTCCTCACAGTTCATAGGTACAATTCTTTCTGGAACCATCAACATTGCAGTGGCATGGTGGCTGCTGAACTCTGTAGCCAACATATGCCAAGATGATCTCCTTCCACCAGATAGTCCGTGGACGTGTCCAGGTGATCGGGTTTTCTTTGATGCATCTGTCATATGGGGATTGGTTGGACCTAGACGGATCTTCGGAACACTTGGAAACTATCAAGCCATGAACTGGTTTTTCCTTGGAGGTGCAATAGGACCTATTATAGTATGGCTCATACACAAGGCATTCCCCAAGCAATCTTGGATTCCTCTTATAAATCTTCCAGTTTTATTAGGGGCGACAGCAATGATGCCAGCAGCTACACCATTAAACTACAATGCCTGGATTCTAGTAGGAACAATATTCAATTTCTTCATCTTCCGGTACCGAAAGCAGTGGTGGCAGAGATACAACTATGTTCTCTCAGCAGCCCTGGATGCAGGAGTGGCATTCATGGCCGTGCTTTTATACTTTGTGGTTGGCATGGAGAATAAAAGAATAACTTGGTGGGGAACAAATGGAGAACATTGTGAATTAGCAGTATGTCCAACAGCCAAAGGCATAGAGGTTGATGGTTGCCCAGTCAACTAATGGATGAAGCTCTTTCTAGATGTAGAACTTACAGAAAAAAATTAGCCACGAGTAGTGTGGTTATATATGAGTTGTACAAAATATTACAATTACCGGACATTTTTAGGCGTTTCACCTGATATAGCTGAACCTTGTGGGATTTATGCCTCTTAATCAGCTGACTAGAGCACCAACCATCGTCCAAGAGACATTGACTGCAAAAATACAAAACCACCTGTCACACTTAATCTGTTACTATAGCATAGATTTCCAGATTTCACAAAAAACCCAAACGAGACATATTTATCATGCACATACTATCTCCCATATAAGATCGCACTCATGGACATGTAGTTATTAATGATAGGTATATAAAGTTATTGAAGTTAAATACCCTCAAAACAATTAATTGTGTAGAAAAAACTTGATCAGCAAGGATAAACAGAGAAAACCAGACGTGGCTTGATGACGACAATAGGCAAGTTCTTGTCCCAGAAGGTCTAAAATTTTGTCGATATAGATCAAAGCTAATCAATTTATGGAGAAATGAGATTTTCTGAGATAGTATATAAAGATGAACTGTCTAGCTCTTCTGGCAGTGAGCAAACAGATACTTTATGACATGAAATGGCGAAAAAAGATACATAAGAAAGGAGATTTCTCTCTTATCACAAATAAAGATACAAGGAAATTCAAGAACAAGTAGATTCTTTACCAATATGTACTCAGGGTGAATTCACTGAAAGCCAGTGATTATACTCATCCATCCTTATGATAAAGGAACTAGAAGCGGGGGTACCGCCTCCACCATATGCCTGCATTTATTTTGTGTAAGCAACATGTGGTCGGTTCTTCCGTATACAAGCTCAACAAAGTCAATGGCAAAGAAACTTTTCACTGCTAGAATGGACCTTTGCAACTTCTGAAGTATCAGTTGCATCATCAGTGCTTCTCAAACTCATCTTCAGGTTATTCCGCTGCATGTAAGCCACAGCTCCAATAGGCCTACGCACTCATAATACAAGCCAAGGAAAACTATCAATTTAGTTTAGCAGTAACTTGACAATTTTAATCTTTAAGACCATTGACATTGGAAAAAACATATCAGGCAGAAGACTAAACTGGAGTGACAGGTCACTCAGCGCCCCCTTGGCCTCAGGTTTTCTTTTTTTAACAAAAGACCTTTTCATTTGGAGTCAATTGGGGCACTTAGGACTGAACAACCCAACAAACAAGAATAATCAAAATTGACAAGAATTTATATGTTTTGAACCCATGGTGCACTGCACGAACTAATTTTCATAACTTCAGACTTTATATGACAAGACACAAAATCGCCAAACACAAAATTGCCAGTTCACCTCAAGCCCGATGCTGCACTCTTTACACTTAATTGCTTGCCAATTTCATCGCTTAAATCAGAAATCCCATCAGCCCTGATTCCCTGTATTGTAAGATAGACAAAGCATCTCATATAAATTGGAACGGTTCAATATAATCAATAAATAAGAGAAAAAACTATACAAGGACAGAGAGTTGCACACCACATAAAAGAGTACATTGACAGCAAAGACATCTACTTGAATGCAACAAAAGAGAAAAAAAAAACAGAATAACAAGGGTCTTATGAGCCATATATCTTGAAACCTAAAGGAGCAGAATAGTAAATTTGAAAAGATAATGGCTTCAAGGGGCATCAGTTAGGAGCAGCATGACTCTGAACACTTACGGTATGTGGGTTTTGCTTCATATGAGTGAAAAAATTATCAAAGAAACAGTGACAAACAATGAAAAAACAAGTGCAATGATAAGAGGGAGAAAACTAAAGTTTTGAATCTTCATACCAGACATTCCCCATAAAGCCCCCTGCCTAATCGAACTTTAAAAACTTTCTCCAGAAACTTAGATGCAGAGTTCTGTCTAGCAGTGCTGTAAGCATTTCCTTTAGCAATCAAATCCGCAGCACTTATATCCAATAACTGCAAGGGAAATTCAAAAGATCCAAAATTATAGATACATATTAGAGGATAAAACTAGAAAGCAACAGAATTCACTAAAATGCAACTAAAGTTGGAGGGTCAGTCTTGCAGTGGAGTCTTTTACTCTATTCTTTCTCTTAGAAAAGTCAAAATAAAACACAATGAAGACATAGAACAGAATAAGTACCTGTTCGTACATGAAAGGATTAGTGATGCAATTTAACTTTGAGCGCCTCTCACTCAATCCGATATTAAAAGCCTTGATGTCCGGTAAGGTCCAATGGCGAAGATCTCCATCTTCAATATACTTAAGTACCATCTCCATGCGCTCTTGATCCTGGGGGTCTAAAAGACCCGGCTCCGTCTTTTGCAGAGTAATATTTTGTTCAGAACAAGCAATTCTTTCTTTAGAGAGTGCATGGATTGAAGCATCAAGCATGCATGGAGTAGTTTCTCAGCTTACATTAGTAGATCTGTTTTCCGCAAGTTGAGCAGAAAAGTACTCATACACAGCAGTTGCGCTGCTCTTCTCAGTACTGAAATGGACAACAAGGTTCTCAGGGCAATCCTCTTTGGCAGAAGTATGTGAAAAAGCTGACTTTCTGTGCTCAAATGCAATTATCCTGAAAATACAGAAAAATGTTTACCAAACATTCGCAACCACAGAAGATTGAGAGAAGAAGAAGACAGAAAAGCTAAGAACGTGATACAGAAATGTCAACATAGGGTACACAAATTAATAGTAAACACGATGCCAAATTACTTGCAGAAAGATTGCTGTGCAAGCTTCGCTGCAAATCCTTTTGGGCCAAGAAAGTCAAGAAGATAACATTTTTCCAGTCCGGCGATATGCAAATCCTCAACTCTGTAGCAAAGATACAATTAGTCCACCCGGTTGCCATGAGTGAATGGAATGGCAGTCAATGCAAGAAAATTTCTTGCTATGTCCTAATCAGTAAAATATCTGATTCTTAACAACATAATCATCAACCCGTCAACTTGTTCAACTTTTGTTGCACGCAGGGGCACACTCTTTTGGCTTCGTCCGAGGAAAGATAACACACAAACCATTTCATCACAAGGCATAATAGAGCATCAATCAGAATCCAAACAACATTTGAATCCAACGATCTTCACTCCTTCGAAGCCCGCCATCCCCAAAATTCCCAGTAACATTTAAGGTCAAGAACATCACAAGAACCCAAATAAACAGAGAAACCAAACCGCCCACTTCAGAGACAAAAGAAGACCCAAAAGAAAGAAGAGGAAAATCACCTGAAGGGTTCAACAGAAGAGAAAGGCAAAACGAGGCAAGGCACGCGGAGGCGAGAGTGGAAGAGGCGAGCGAAGAGAGCGGAGAATGCACCCGAGAATGATGGGTAATTGTAGAGCGCGAGATTCGGGACTCGCTCGTCGCGGGCTCTGGCTATGGCTTCCAGAGCAGCGTCCGATCTGAAGCGCCGACACAAGCGAGGAAGAAGATGTACCGCAGATGACCCAGCTCCGCAACCATTCATTTGGAACTTTGTAGACCTGAAAGTTGGAAACTTTCTCGATCGCTCCTGCACTCTTGCGTGCCTGACCAGTGTAGCGGAAGTGCAGGAGGAGCAACGAACCAAGGGAACAAGAACAGGAAGACAAGACGGACAGCAGAGGTTTCGCGACCCGACCCGAACCGACAGGAACTGGGCCGAGAAGCGGGTCGGGGCCTTTGGAGAAGCCCGGTCTCGTGTTCGTGGGGTTGGATTTAGTTGAATCAGGTGAATTAGCTAAATGAAGCGAGATATTGGATAAATGATTTACTAGAAAATATCCATATAATATACTGGCGAATCCAAGTCATATAATTGAAGTCACCGTGTAATTTTACTTATAGCACTATGTAAATAAAAAAAAATCTTTGATCAAACCATGTTACCCCCAAAGAAAAAGAAATTAGCTCGATCAAAATTTACAATCGAAATGAAGGCAACTGAACTGAGTCAACCCTGGTGATCATCTCCTTATAATCATAGCAGGCTCACCCGCTCACCTTTACTTGCGACTCCGAGTGCAATTTCATATCTTTTACCATGGAAGAAAAACTAGTTATGCATCAAGAACTCTCCAAATCTGTAGGGTTAGTCTCTGTGTACCAAGACATAGATAGTTGGAAACTGGATCTTCGGATTCATTAACCTTGGAAATGAACTTATTAGCCCAGATTCTCATTCAGGGCAATGATCTGTTTACAAGCAATTAGGACACAATCAATAATGAGAATCTTAATATGAATCGCCAGCGAAAACTTCAGCTTTTGTCTGGCTGTTGAAAGTGACATTAAAGATCTGCTTGCTCACATCAAAACTCGCAGCAGTCGGCGCTTTAAATTTGAGGGAGTGCGGCATGCTAACTATAGTCATCTTGAGCTGTGAAGTCGCCTGGTTGAGGTAGTCGTAACCTGTCGAAAGGATTTTTCGATTTAATGTATTCTTAGAGAATATTGACATATGTAACGTGTAAAAAGTATTCAAGGCTTGCCGTTTTGGGAGGTGTAAAGGAGAAAACAACTCACGCCAATTCTGTGGTCACCGGAGGAGTCGCACTCCTATTTTGACGTGGGGGCCGGCTCGAAGGGGAAGGAATCGGTATATCTGTATCATCTCTGGTGTTAATGCCATACGATACATGATATCTGCTGACCTCACTACTAGAATTCCCTTCCCTGTAAATCTGACACTGAAAAATGTTAAGGTGATCACTAGAAAAAATATAGTACAAACTTAATTCTAACATTTACTAATATTGACAGTATGATCCATCCTGTCAATATAGACTTAATTTATAGTTCACTCCACATCATGAAACATTTTGCTTAGGGCAAAGATCAGCAAAAGGTCGGCACGCACTGTCAACTTTGCGTAAGTATTCTCATCATTTGAAATAAATATCCTCATCTAGAAGAAGATTTGTGAGAACAGGTAATATAACAACATTCGAACAATATTAATGAAAGCCTGTCTGGGTGCCCGAGGTGTGTGTGTCTGCACATACATAATTAACACCTTCTCCAGGAATTCTGCATTCTCTTTGTCAATAAGATTTACCTTCTCTTGCAGCTCTATATTTTTTTGATGAATGAGGTTTCTCTGCAGTAGATCAATCCATTATTAGCTAAATTATGGTCGAACTAGGAGAAAGAATGATTGTGATCTATAGCCGAAGTAAAACCTTTCGATGGAGCTCGTTAATTTGATCCGTCATAATCTGTTCCTGAATAATAGTATAACATGAGATGATTCAGACGTACATATATAATTCATTGTTTTAACATAAATGGGATGATAATACTATGGCCAAATGTACCTTTTGAAGGCGGATAGTTGATAAACTTATTTCTAATTGGTTCTCCAAATTCTGTATATCCTTCACACTCAAGCCAGAGATGTCTTCACCCATCAGTTGTCTGCAAGGACTCAAATAGCCTCAATATGTGTAACTGTTCATACTACAACTCTTGATCAAAGAAGATAGTTTGCATATAGACATCATCCGCATCATATATGAGCCATGCCATATATGTTTCTGTAATATGTCTTCTATCTGGTCTAAATGAAAAAAACCAAACTCCCGTAGAGGTTTCTTGTAATATAATAACCAAACCAAACAAATCAAAAACTTAAGTACTGTAGACTCATCCTGGCTCCGACAGATACGTCAAGAATATGCACAATCAAGGGAGACATATCCACAATCAAGAAAGCTATGAAGGATCTCATAATTATCTCTAACACCACTAAAGATAGCCCCACGACCTGAGTGAAGCGTCAAATATAGCCATATAAACTGGCAATCGAACTGAGTGAAGCTGAGAGACATATTTGATGCCTAACATTCCCATCCGAGCTCTAATACTCTTGAAGGCAGCCCCACTCAAGTCTGTTGCTAGTGCTATTGTCCTCTCTGGTCGAGACTCACCCACGCTTGCATGATTTTACACTGTGTTGTACTAATTTGAGATTTGTGAGACTTATCTACTAGCAGAACAGCTCATACGCGAGTGATGTAGAGTCAGAGATATATCTAATGCCTGATAATTGATAAGTTAAAACCAAAAATATGTGCATGTCAACTGAGAAGTGATAGGATGTGAAAAAAGAAAAAGACTTTTGAGGCTTTAAGTAAAAGCCTCCAATTAAAAGCATGCTGAATATGTTACTGAGTCATAAGTATGGATCAGGTAGTACTATTATCAGTCCATGGAGAGAAGAATAGTGAACATTTGATAGAATTGAAGTGGGTGACAAAAGCACCAACAAACTAGAGTGGTGGAGATTAAGTTGATGAGAGTATGAACATAAATGTGAGCACTATAGTCTTAGAAGAGAATTTTACCTAGGCTTGTATTAAAGAGAAATGTTCCAAGAAATAAAATAACGTGACTGCAAAAAACATCTTTCCCTAACCATGGTATGACTTAGAGCAAAACTTTGCTAACATTATGCTATAATCCTAGTTTCCTATCTGGATAGAAGCTATTAATTAAGGTAAACTAATTGGTTCTTGAAAATCAAAATGTACCTTAAGTAGTTCTTGACAAGAATTAAGACTTTGCACTTATCCAAATGCCTCTGGAGTTTAATTCATTCACTCCTTTCTATTTCACAGATACATAACTGGTGTTTGACTATCGGGATAGTAGCATTCACACTATTGTAGGAAGCTCTTGGGTTGTGACCCTATGTACCTGTGGTACTCTTGCAGACCTTGGAGTTGACGATTCAAGTTTGCTATCTCTTCTTCCAAAACCTGCAAACGGTATTAAGAGGAAATTTCCAGACAATTAGTTTAACATTCGTGGGTGTTCTCCTATGATAATGTCGAAGGCTAGGTTGTTTATGCGACGTACCTTGGCATCAACAGGTGGCTGATCCAATTCCGGTTGGGCTTCCCGCTTCAGATTGTTGTAGCGTTCGATGACCGAGTCCATGCTGAACACAAACAAGAGTCACTCCCAGAGATCTATATCATAATGATTGATGTAATCAAGAATGAAGACGGTATTTGATGCTCTTGAGGCATATAAAAGATTTCTAGACTTCAGACCATTACTAATTGGTTGATTCATAGGAGAAAAAGGAAAAGGAAAATTTAGGAAAATGTTCAAATTCAACTAGCAAACAGTTGAAGGAATGAATAATCAGTTTAGAAAGTTCGAACTGAACTGAACATATGCAGCTTTAGTGACACACAAGAGAAGAGATAACAAAGAAACTCAAAAAGTTGATTCGATAGTGATGCTCAACTCTAAAACTAGGTCTCAAAGCGGCGTTGTTATCTCAGAAACCAATCCCGACATGGAAGAAAAAGTTGCGCCAAAGTGGCTGCTAAAGCTGCAAGAAGAAGAAGAAGCACACATGCACACGTATCATGGTTCGTGCGTGCACGTGCGGGCGCGCATGTGCGAGGAAGAGAGAGGGAGGGAGACATCGCGGGTCGAATCTATCATTGACGTCCACTGACCTTGAGCTCGAGTACTCATGGAGCTGTCCAGTGCAGGAGAAGATGATGATTCCGACCTCGGCGTCGCAGAGACGCGATAGATCCCTGGCCTTCTTCATCAGCGAGTTCCTCCTCTTGGCGAACGTGATGTGCAGGCCGGCGCCGCTGCTCGACTGCGGATTCATCTCCGCACTGGGAATCTTCCCTCCTCCTCCTCCTCCTCCTTCCTCGATAGACCTCGTCTCCTCCTCCTCCGACGTCACTCAATACCCTTCAGCGATTTATCTTCCTTAGCGGAAAACCCGGTTCAGGAACCGCGATTTTTTAGTTGAAGAGGATATCGGGGGAAAAGAATGGAAACTCCAAGGAGCGCTGAATTCAGCAGCTCTTCTTCCATTTTTAAGGAGAAGAAATCATCAAAGAAATTCAAAAAAAGAAGAAACAAAAGTACGCAACAGGATTACCTCTGCAGGGAGCACAGTGTTCAACTGTTCATTAAAGGGGCGATTTGGAGATTGAAATTTTTGAGTGGTTTTCTCAGAGTCAAGACAAGAGAAAACCTATGTCGAAGTAGGACTTAGTCAAATCAGTAAGTATAATACAATTATGGCACTTTCTTGGGCTCAACTTTAAGTTAACTGGTCGATCTTTTCTTTGAGATGTTAGAGCATATTAGGTTTTTTCACACATGTAAATATAATATAATGTAATGTCTAGCCATAAGTTGCTTTTTCGGATTATTCAACATTTAGATGGAAAATTTTGAGTCAAGACAATGCAAGTCAATCTAAAGAGTTTCAAACTCTAGCATCAATTATCTTAGAACTTAGTTTGAATTGAATAATTTGTTTGCTCATACCAACTGTGTATGTTGATTAAAGTTCCCAATTAGGCTTCGTGATATAACTCATCTTCTTTTCGCTAGTTTTCCGATAAACATTATAGGGCCGTGTTTTTTCTCCATTCCTAATTGGAGTAAATTTCCTTCATTAGCAATCTATAAATATGGACATCACGTACATATAAAATTTAACTAAAAATTAATCTAGGTGATGTCCGTGTTTGTAACTCATCAATTAGACGCCTAACTCGATGAACTATCCTCCAACCATGCATGCAGGAAAGTATACAAGCTTCCTCATTTTAAAGTTATGTTACAAAATTAAAATGAAGTTTTACTTGGCATAATTTACTTACGTGTTTGGTTGCTACAGTAGCTTGAAATGCAAATCCTTCGTTCTTGAAAGTTTTGGTAATGTTGCTGCACTTTGCATGGTTTCGCTGGAGCTGGTAATGCTTTCGTAGCTTGGACATCTTCGTTGCCAACTCTTGATTCGCTCATCTTTTTGGTCTTTTTTATATTTATTTTTTTTTTTTTTTTTTTTTTTTTTTTTTTTTTTTTTTTTTTTTTTTTTTTTTTTTTTTTTTTTTTTTTTTTATTTTTTTTTTTTTTTTTTTTTTTATTTATTTTTTTTTTTTTTTTTTTATTAAAAAGATATTAAAGTATTTCTATATCCAGTGTTTTTAGAATGAATTAACATTGGGGCCTCAAATATTTGATGTGGAAGTGTTTACCTTTGATTAGAAACATACTCAAGAAATGTAATTCGATAACAGGAGTACATGGAGGACACAAGTTTTGAGGCTATTTTGTATAACTAAAATGGCAGGATAATGCATGTTGTTACTTTGTTTTCAGAAATTATTTTTGAGATTATCGCGAGTAAAAGTTAAATATTTTCTTCATTTGTTAGATCGAGTGAAAGATAACAAGTCATTTTTCTTATATTGGGGTTGTTTTGGAATCAAGCAAATTTTGAGATCGCAGATTTCTTGCCCGTGCAAAATTCCTACTAATCATGTCCGTCAAATCAAATAATTCGATATAATATAGTAGGTCTACTTACATTCTTGGTTGGGAAACAGTATTTGCGATAGTACTTTTCTTAATATTTTCATAAGTTTGTCAACATACATTAGGGTTAGTATTTTTGTTGGTGAGTTAGTAATCTTAACTTTTCAAGAGGATCAAGTAATAATCAAGGATTAAATAATCACATCATCTTGTAGCGTTGACGTAACCCTAGTAAAAGAAACATTATGTACATCGAGGACGCCATTTTGCTAACCTCTTGCGATATCCAACAAGTATGCACGATGTGATTTTGTCAGAGAACAAGTTTGACTTTGGATCTCTAACTCTTTTAACAATTATAATGTCATTGAATTTCATTTAGTTCATGCAGCAGATGACCGAAGCTCATAATTCTAGTCTTGCGTCCCAAGTGGTGTTTCGCAATCATTAATATTACTAGCATGAAATTGTCGGCTTGACTTTGTTTTTGTTCATCACAATGAGTACACGTAAAAACGCATTGGACAATTACGAATTTTTCAGTCATGACGGGGTGATCCCGGCTTCGTTCAAACTAATCCCCTGATATCCATGAACTCTCTGCTAGCCTACGGTCTTATTCAGTAGCAGGTTTCGTCTAAACAGGTGACCCACAAGGAATTGGTAACACTCCGGACCGGCTGGATCAATCAGGAGTTGATCAGACCTCCAGTCCCAATAACGCCCTAGTACCGATGGAGGTCGAAACCGTCAAGAACCGGCCTAACCGGACGAACTTGCCAAACCTAATGAATTTATCCGGTCAGCTCTTGTTTTCCATTTGACTTAAACAACTTTACCAAGGAAGCAGTGCTCTGCATGTCTGGTGGCTGCATAATGCACTATAACATATATTACTTATTTCACTAACCGCCGATTTTTCCGGTTAAACCTTTTGAATCGATTAAACTGCATACTAGTGGTCTATTTGGTGTGCCTTCCAGTGCAGTTTTCGAAACACTAGTGTTAAGTGAGCAAAACATGTACGGATGATCAGAGCATGAAACAAAATTTATCCATGATATGTCTGCTTTTGAACATTTCTTTAACTATTGTTAGCTTAAATGGTAAGACGGTTTGTTCTTCTTTCTCTGATCTTGGGCTTAAGTTTTGTTGGGAGTAGTTTATGAGTAAAATTCTGAATGTACCAGGCTATTTTGAGGAAGTGCCCCCTTAAAATCTTTCAGAAAGGTGTCTTGTCAAGGTGCGCGAAAGCTGGTCCAACATCTCCTAAGAAAAGGAAAATTTCTTACATGCGAAGGTTGTGAGTGAGACAAAAAGGGTTAGAGTTCGAGCTATTGGAAACAGGACAGAGGAGAGAAAATTCAGCATACATAGAAATAGAATATGGAACATTTGGGTAGAAGAAAAAGAAAAATGACTGAAATCATTCGCGTTCACACTATTAAAGAACATTTTCACATGACCATGTTCACACCTCCTGTGTTTGGAAATTAAAATAAGGAGTAATCTGTGTGCGTTCACATTTGGATCGCCAACAATTCAAAGGATAAAATATGGGACTTCGAGCTGTGCTTCATGGTTGTGAGTGTTCTGATTAAAGTTGTGGGACACCTCTAAGACCTGCATGCTTCATTTCTCATTAGTTATTTATCTAAAGCTCACGAAGGCCCTTTGCTCATCTTCATCTGTGTGGGTCAGGTACAAAATCATATTGTTGGTTTGATAGGAAAAGGCACGTGTAATCCATGCACTGTGGTAGTGTGAACACCAGATTTGCTGAAATATCTTATTGGGTCAAAAGTAAGGTCATGGTGTGAACGCTGGATTTGTTGAAATGACTTATTGGGTCAAAAGTAACTTCTAAGCTCACATGGAAGAATAGATGTTGACAAAAATTTTGAAGTTGGTGAATTAGCTTTTCTTAAGCTGTAATTATACAAGTAGTCATGACTATGAATGGAGCTGGGCACAGTGATCTCTCAAAAAATCATAATTCCAGCTCAATTAAGGGTTTCGAATGAACAGTAATATTATGAGCTTTTGAAAGTCACGATTGGCGTATTGAGATTATCACCTAAAAAATTGTGATTCCATGTGAAAATTGACGATGATTTTTATTTTATGTTTTAGTATTCTTCGGTGAAAATCAATGCATTAGAATAAACTCTATCGACTTGAGCCGTGATTCGTGGATAGTGATTACGACGATCATGAAAGCGTACATGCTTGTAAGTGAGAAGAGTTAATTTTTAAAATAATTTTGTGTCAGCTCAATAATTCCTGCTCAAAGAAACATTGAGTCAGACTAAGTAATGTGTATATAAATCAACTTTGTTTGGTAAATATCACGAGGTGAGCTGACGCAATTTATAATAGAATAAGGTAGAAATGGATAAACCACATCTACATTTGCATTTAATTATATACATGTGCAATAACAACACCTTCAAGAACCCGCACGCTCTTCTAGTTTCCACACATAATGTAAACTTACATGTACATACAAGTTATAGTCCTGACTACGTGAGTATATTTCATGAACAAAGTTAAGCAAGCTTCATGAGCAACTAAAACTTACAATCCTGCCTACGTGATTGTTTTTCACATTTTATCCAAACAATTTAATGCAGTTTGCATTTGTTTTCAAATTCTTTGGAGAACGAAACCCGGCGGGGTGTTGCCTCAGCGGTTGGGTGCTGCTTCGGCCGCTCGTGTGAGTTTGAAATTCCCCTTGCGGCAATACCCTAATCTCTCCCGTGCGCGGGAGAGGGGGAGACCTCATGCTCCCATGAGGATTTACCCGTCGCAACCGATGCAAGCAAGGAATGCGCAGGTTCCCCTCACGATTATAAGAAAAAATTTCTTTGACAGCTTATATAAGTAGTTTTTGCTGATTAAGTCATAGTATCTCATCGTACATAGTTGATTATCTAACTACGTTATATCGTGGTTGGATTCTTCCATTAGTTATAAAGCTCGTAGTCATTGCTTGAGAGAATCTACACAGTTGATTATCTTAAATTTTTGCAGTCTAAGATTTAATTGAAGATAGCAGATCTTTCGTTTCCTTTTGGGCTTTAACCTGACTTTTGTCGGATGAACTTCAAATTAGGGTGAACTTCGGTTTATGGTTTTCCTTGTGGGGGACTGTAGCATATCCGCCCGGACCATATCCAAAGGATGCTTATCCACCGCCCGCTAAATATCCACCGCTGGGTTACTCTCAGCAATATCCGCCGCCGGCCTATGCCCTGCCGCCTCCAGTCGTCCAGCCTCCTCCTCCCCCCCTGCCCCCAAGACCACCGTGCATTATGTCGATTTGATAAATTTTATATATGTCCTTTTTGTTATCATATTAAATCGTTGGGGGTGTTCTATTCGATTCAGCAGCATGATAACGTAATTTCTTGCATTATCTGATATGAATGAAGCTCAAAGATTTCCTGTCTTCTTGCAAGTTTGTTCATTATCTTCTCTGTTCCCTCATCTAGATTGCATGAGCTCTCTGGAACTGAAGACAAAAATGCGAAATTATAAGGAAAAACTTCAAAGAGCTGTTT